TCAGGTCAACTCTGCTGGATTAACAGATGATGATGATGATGATGATGGCGACGATGGTGATGGCGACGATGACAATGCGGCTGCGGCCGCTATGATGGTGCGGTTGCGGATGTCTACCCGCGATGCACGCGGATCGAACTAGAGCGAATCAAGCTGCTGTCTACCCACGATAGTTAGAGGACACTCTTTGAATGATGCTGTGCAGAGAAGGAATCCGATGCGGCCAGTGGGTGCGTCTAAATGACCAAAATCTAACCTTTCTGCCGCCACGCTCGCACACAATTAAACATGACGGTAACAACGACAAGGACAATGGCAACGGTAGTCGCAGTCACACAGCCGCCACCACCACCAGCACTTCCACCAAGGACAAGCTGACATGTGAGTAGTGCTTTTTGGGTGGTTGAACCTAGTAACATAGTATCCCTTATATAAAATACTATACCCCAAAAGGAGGATATAGTCTTACTCTATATGGAGTACCATAGTATGCCCAAATTAGATACTACTCATGTTTTGTTGAGGTGGCATCGGTCCTAGATGTCGGACCGTACACAATTGCGACGCCAAGAAGGAACAAACAAGATTGTAGCCAGGGGCAATGTTGTAGGCGTTCTTTGGCTACAGAATCACTGAAAAACGGCAAGCCCACCCTGCTGTCAATGCGCCAACTGTTGACATTCCTAGGGGACCCCAGGTAGGACAGACCCCCCTTTAGGAAGGACACTCAGAAAGTACTTAGACGGGAACCTAGACTCACTCGGATGGTCTGTACTCGGATGGTCTGTCCTAGGGTTTAAGGTTTAACGTTTAGGGTTTAAGCCCTAAACCCCAAACCCTAAAATCTATATCTGACTTGTGGTGCGTCTCACTCCTTTAGGGTTTAGGGCTTAAGGTTTAAGATTTAGGGTTACCAGTTACCCATTATTATAGGCAATTTTCCCCTAATTTCCTATTACTTTGGGTTAAAGTAGCCGATTTTTATGGGTAAGTAGGCTTTCTAGGTAGGAATATAGGAGGGATATAAGGATTTTGGTAGGTAGAGTCCTATTATATTCCTACTATATGCTTGGGGTCCCCACCCTAAACCCTAAAGTTATACACCCTGAACCCTGAGCCTAGCATGATTGGGGTTCCCTGCTTTGGGGTTCCCTGCTTTGGGGTTCCCATTCAAGTCCTTTTAGAACCTTGAGACGCTGAATCCCAAACCCTAAGCCCTAAACCCTAAACCCTAAACCCTAAACCCCAAACCCCAAACCCTATAGCCCTAAACCCCTGAATGCCGCACAGCAGGCCTCCATGCACGCCTCCGCCGAACAACCAGCCCCAGGATGATCCTGCAACAAGTCGGTTAAGGTTTCGGGTTTAGGGTTTAGGCTTTAGGAGTTTAGGGTTTTGGGGTTTAGGGGCTTAGGCTTTAGGAGTTTAGGGTTGTGGGGTTTAGGGCTTTTGGGGTTAGGGGTGTTGGGTTGTGGGGTTTAGGGGTTTAGGCTTTAGGGATTTAGGGGTTTGGGGCTTTAGGGTTGCGGGGCTTAGGCTTTAGGAGTTTAAATTTAGGGTTTAGGGGTTTAGAGGTTTAGGCTTTAGGAGTTTAGGGTTTAGGGGCTTAGGCTTTAGGGATTTAGGGGTTTGGGGCTTTAGGGTTGCGGGGCTTAGGCTTTAGGAGTTTAAATTTAGGGTTTTGGGGTTGTGAGGTTGAGGGTTCAGCGGTTTAGGGGTTTATGGTTTAGGGATTTAGGGGTTTTGAGTTTAGGGGTCTAGGGTTTGGGTTTAGGGGGTTTGGGGTTGAGGGTTTTAGGGTTTTGGGGGTTGGGGTTTTGGGGTTTGGGGGTTCGGGGGTGTAGAGCTTTGGGGTCTAGGGTTTTGTGGCTTTGTGGTTTCAGGGTTTAAGGTCACTTGCAGGATTCTGATGCCAGTAGTTCAGATGCACTTCTACAATTGCCAGGAGAAGTCTAGCTAAGGTACCCTGTACCAAAATAATATAAGGAACCCAGGACCAAAATATCGGCAATTGCCTCTATAAACTCCTACATAGTCCAGACCCATTTAATTACGATTTTTTCCGTTCGCCCAAACACTAATCCTGAAGCCCTAGAACCTACACCCGAAGCCTTAATCCCTAAACCTTAAACCCTCACCGCCCTAACCCTTAAACTCCAACTCTTAGACCCAAATCCTTAAACACCCTAAACCCTAGGGCCTCTATATTCATCAGGTTGTATGCTCGGCTCTTTGGCTTTGGGCTTCTGCACTTAGGGTTTCGGGTTTCGGGCTTCTTTCATGTAGGTCTTGTTCTGGGATAAATTCGGAGACCCTGGAAAATGTAATCTGCTTCTTTGGCTTAGGGACTATAGTACTTTGGGCTTAGGCTGGTTTAGGGTTCAGGGTTGGGGATCATGGTCAATTATCATGATTATCTTTCCAGGAAAAGCCCAGGGCTTTTCGCCAAAAAAATGAAGCCAGGAGTCGTCGTCGTCCAGATGAAGTCTAACAGGGCCTAATGCCAGTCTCATATGTTGATACATGATAGATGATCGAGATTCCTCTTCTGAACATTGCACCTATGACAAGATGACTTCCCGATACCTTTTATAGACCTACAGGAAGCCTAACTAACTTCTCCCAAGGGCCTTTAGGATCAT